ACAGAATCTGAAAGAGGCCCCAGGCTCTGAGCTGTCAGCACAGAGCCTGACGCATGGCTCGAACTCACTGACTGCGAGATCACGACCTGAGCCGAAGTCGGACGCTTAACCGACTGAGCCACACAGGCGCCCCAGTGATTATCTTTCAACTACTGTGCCTCAGGATAAAATGAGAAACATGTGAATCCAGGATTGAGATAATAAAATGCTATAAAATATTAATTGTTGAAATTGTTGCTGTTGCTTGAGGTAGCAATAACTGAGGTGACACAATTTATGTGGCTAGCCTAGAATTGATTTTAGATATAACAATTAAGTATTATTATGGAAAGCTCAGAAGTACTGGGATATCACAAGTTAGAACCTGAGATGTAAGCAAGACTGGAATTCCCTCTGTACCTAAAGTGTAATGACTCAACCAAATTGAAAAAAACAAACTCTAGCCACTGCTGGAATGATGGAAAAAAATTAAGATATATACATGCAAATTGAATATTGAGGGAAAAAAATGCCTGAAGGTATTGCCAAAATGGAATAGCAGAAAGTGTCTGTGTTTACACGCATGAGTGTGTAATCATCTTATATGTAGAAGAGTCTTGGAATAATGTCACACATTTGCTTTAGAATACTCTCATTATTATACAATTTGCACACCATATATATACAATACATCCCATTTGTAAGAAACACTCCCTCAGAAAAACTAAAATAGTCCACTGATACTGCTTTTCTAGAAAAATGCGACAAAAAAATTAAAACAGATGTTGTTCTGGCCAGGGATAAACTGAAAATTAATTATGGCTATTTCCTGTTCTGCATTCACTTCATCTTTAAAAAGCATCCAACTAAAAGCCTTTGTGACATAAATGAAAAAGCACTTTTTTGAGACACAAGACTAGTAACTGATACATACCAGTCTGTATGCTGTAACACACTACTAATCCTCTGAGATTTAAACAGTCTCTGTTTCAGTTATATAAATGTTTAATTTTTTCATCTTTAATCTTAGTAAGGTTGCCCAGAAACTATATTATTTCTGTGGATGTCACCACTCACCAATTAGGGAAGACACCAATGCACAATCAGTAGTGAGCTCTATATATTATAGACTTTGACACTTGAGTCTGCTGGGGAGGGGATGGATTAGACAATTTAATAGACTCTACAGTGACTAACTTTTTTTTCTATGAAAAACATTTTATTTTGTGAATTGTGCAATTTTTTTTCCTTTGGATTCATTTATAAGACCAAAACAAAAGCATTTAATGATGTTTACAGTGAAATGAAATAGCTGAAGACCAGCACATAATCACCATATTTTGTTTCCTCATCTTTAAGTCTTTTAGCAGTGGGGCTTCCAGCTGAGCTTGTGTCTAGCTTTTCCCAAGACACAGCCAAGCATTCTGAAGCTTCACTGAGCCTCAACACCAAGATGAATTCATAGTTCTTAATTGAAAAAGACAGGCTGTTTGCCTAGCATGTTTGCATCAGTATAACATTTAAAATGACATTTGTGCCCAAGCCCATCTGAACATTCTGCCTTAGCTGAACTCTGCTAATGTTTTTATACCCCGGTTTCTGCCTAGTACAGTTTTAAATAGCTCCTCTTGCTAAACCATGTGTGGCTGAATTCACGAAAATAGACTCTTCTTCATACATGAGAATACCATTCCTGACATTTGCTTTGAGGTGTTTCTCATATGCACAGAATGCTACTTTGAGTCAGCCATACTTTCTTACCCTGGTCTGTCCTATGATCAATGACATATATTTGTGTGGTAGCTAGAGGGATTTGGCATTGCAGCCCCACAGGCAAAATGGGAAGTTTGGTACTTTCTATCCTCGGTAAAGGGTATGCAATCTGTAGTCAGAGAACAGAGTCTCTCTCTGGGTAAATTTAACCAGCCTGATATGGAAATAAAACCCACCACTTTGGTCTCATTAGTGCTATGTTCTGTGAGACTCAACTGATCAATTAAAGTTCATGTACTAAAGCAAAAAGAGGCATTTTTCCCGGTGAGAAGGCATCTGCTCACTTTCTATGTGCTCAGTGCATTTATTATTGAAGAGAATGTATACAATATGTACATGTAGTCAGCTATGAGGGTGAAGTAGACTGGTTAGGTGTTAGGACACCTCAAAACTATATAGATGATACTCAGGCATGAGCACAGTGTACACCTTGACAACACACTCATTACAGTAAAGTAGAACAATGTACCTACAAACATGCTGGGTTCTTTGGGATCTGTGGCTGCAAATTACATCCAACCAACCCTTACCATGGTCAAGCATCTGAGATCCCATGGACGTCACACTGGTGTTCAGCACATCATTGACAGCAGTATCACAGTATAGGCTCCGCTGGACATCATGTTCACTGTCAGTCTGGTCGCTCTCTTCATGACCACTATCCTTCAGACTGTTGCCCTCTAAGTCCTTGAAGGTGGAGCTGCTGGGTTGAAGAAAGAATGATAATTTACAACTGTGATAAATCTGTTTTGTAAAATCTTTCAGAGGCAAGATGATATCAGCTCTGTGGTGAGGCCAACAGTGACTGGATTGTTCAAAAGAGTAGAAAGAGGAATTTTCTGTTTAAAGATAATTTCTGTTTAACACTGCAGAGAGGTTCCCACTATTGGAGGCTGATGCAACTAATACTTTCATTCACTTATCTTCAATGTATTACTACCACAGGCAGGTGGAAGAAGGTACAAATCTGAAACCACCACTTGCAAAGAATATCACCATTTCAAAAGATTTTCTCTCTTCTTATAGAATCAAAGTAAAATAATAACTGATGTTTACTGAGCGATTACTATACATAAGGCACTATTCTAAATGCTTGACGTGAATTAACTTTTTTAATCATTACAACTATATGAGAGAAAGGTACCATTAATACTCCCATTTACAGATTAAAGATCAGAAGCACGTGGAAGTTAAGTAACTTGCATACAACTGATGAAAATTTAGTAAGACCAAACCCAGGACAGGCAGTCTAGCTCCAGAGCCTGGACCCTTAACCACTATGTATGCTGCTTCTCCAAAGATGTCTACTAATCAACTGTAAAATGAAAGTGGCAGAAATTGAGTTAGTGCAATTAAAATAGAAATCAGGATCAGAGAACTCAGGTGAGTTTTAACAGAGAAAGTCAGAGAGACAAATTCAAACACAAAGAGGAGAAGCAGGGGCTGAGAAGAGAAGAGCCTTGGTGCATGCACAGTAAGATGAAAGAGAACCAGAGAGTGAGCTCTAATAATATTGTGGGTGTAGTTATGGTAAGAATATGAAAACTTTCAGCTGAAGAGTTTATGGGCCAATTTTTCTTGTATTTGTTAAATCAATCCACCATACAATGCACTAAACATACTATCCATACTATCCAACATAGAGAATAATACATAATGTATATCCATAGAGGCCTCCACCTGCAATTTCTAATATTTTGTAAGTTCTGACAGAATCTGAAGATGTGCAACACCATGCTCCATAAATTATGCATCTGAAATACCTAGTAAATGGTGAATCCATTCCCCAGTCAATGAGGAAGTAGCAAAGGCATACTCAAGGAAATGTGTTGTTGTCTCGACAAGGGAGAGTGTCATGCTTTTGAATTAGGACAAGTCCCAACAGACCTATTGTACCTCTGAAAAGGGAGGTGGTGTACCATCTCTGTGGAGGTGATAGTGCAAACTTGTTTGCTGTGCTCAACCTTGAACATCCACCAGCCTGACTCTCTGAGGCTTTGATAAGAACATTCAGTGCATATTATGAAGAGCTATGCAATGGACACAATAGATACACTGTCATTCTCTACATTGGTCAAAAGGAATCACAGCAGATTTTTAACATATGACCAACCTAGATATAGAATGCTTGCTGCCCTGAATATGAAAGGGTAAAGATCAAAAGGCCAATAACTAGAAAGCCATAATTATAAGAAAATGAAGAGCAGGAGAGAGTAAAGCATTGACCTCTTTGCTAATTATTTTCAGAAAGGATCACTGAGCATCACCTGTATTAAAACTAAAATCATTAAATAGGCCAACTCACTTAGCTCCTCCAAATTATGTCATGCAGCTATGCAGCCCTGTGGACCTACCAGCATGTAGTTCTATTAAAAAACCAATCATCTTATATTTCCTTTATGGTCAAGAAGACCAACTGGAAACACAGGCTTTACAACGTGTAGCCATTTCTAGCTTTATGGCACAGATGTTGGGGCTTCCTGTAAATACTAACCCCACAGCCTAAACAGATTCAAACTTTATCTTTTATAAAAAAAAAAAAAATTGGTCCTGCCCACATGGACTCCTGCATCTCAGAAGAAAGAAAATGACCTGTCTGAATCATATGTTCTTATAACAAATATTAATTTTTTGACCTGCATCTCTGGTATCTGGAACACAGGAAAATTTCCTTAATTCACAACAAAAAATTGCTACTTTAAGCCAGAAACTTCAATCCTGAATTGAGTGCATTTAAGCAGTTGCCAAAACATGCTTAGGACATACGTTGAAGAGGAATATAAGGACAATGCAATTAACCACCCCTTAGACCAAGGTTTTTCAACCTTGGTACTATTGATATTTTGTTGTCTATGGCTGTCCAGCGCATTGTAGGATGTTTAGCAGCATCCCTGTCTTCTACCCATTAGATGCTAGTAGTGCCTCTCCCAAAATTTACAACCAAAATGGTCTCCATACATTGCTAAATCACCCTCAGTTGACAAACACTGTTTACACTCTTTAAAACGCTATTCCTGTGGCATGTTAGATTGCCAGACTGTAGAGGAAAGAGCACTGTCATTAGAACAATCTGTACTCTGCCACTTTATCTATGGGACCCTGGGCCTGATAGCTAATGTCTTTGAGCCTCAATTTCTTTGTCTGCAAAAGGCATTTGCTAAAAGCTTCATCACAAGACCATTTTCAAGACTCAATGAGATATTGTACATGAAATACCAGGTACACACAAATGCTCAATAAATGGTTAATGTTTATATGATCATTACTACATATGATGTCTTCATTGAGTTATAATTAAATATTATGTCTGTGATCTTTTTATAGGAGTGATACAGGAAATATATATTTAGGAGAAAGCTTGGGGAAGATGGCAGAGTAGGAGGATGCTCGTCCTGCTGGCTCATCCTGCTGGCTTACCTCATCCTGCTGATCACCTAGATTCCACCCACATCTGCCTAAATAACCCAGAAAACCACCAGAAGACTAACACAATGGACTCTCCAGAGCCAAGCATAGAAAAGAAGCCCACAGAAGAGGGTAGGAAGGGAAGAGAGGTGGTGTGTGCTACATGAACTGGCTGGAGGGAGCTAGGGCAGTGGAGGGGCAGCCCATCAGGCAAGGCAGAGCTCCCAAAGTCTGGCTTGCAAAAGCGGAGGGGCCGGACTCCATGAGTTTTGACAGCCAGCTGGACTTAACATCTGGAATGTTAAGAGTCAATAGTTCTGCTCTCAGAGAGCAGGGAGGATGAGAGAATGCCTGAAGGGAGAGTTGTTGAGCCCTGGAAGACAGAGATCAGCACAGCAGGGAAACAAAGGCACTGGCAAGCGCCATTTCCCTCTCCCATCCCCCAGCCCAATTTCCAAAGGGAAACAGTTCCTGTCACCTAACTTGCTTGCACCATGCAAACTCCCAAGCTGTGCTTCTGTGGATCCATCCCTCCAATGGGCATGCCTCCCTCCCAGTGCTGCAGGGCCCATCCTGCAGAGGACCACCACGGCAATGCGAGCTAAGCCTGCCCCTCCTGCCCCTGTGCACCTTGCGGATCCACCTCGGTTAATACGCCCTTAGATCAAAATGAACAAGCACCACAAGCCTGGCAGTGTGCAAGTAGCCCAGACAGGGGACACACCACTCCACAATGAGTCCTGCCCCTGACAGAGGGGAAGGTAAGGTACACACCAGTCTGACTGCGGCCCCAGCGATGGGGTGGGAACAGACATCTGGTTTGACTGCGGCCCTGCACACCAACACAAGTTTCTCCGGAAAGCACAGGAGAAATGTCCTGCAGTTTGGAGCCACCCCAGGGAATACCCAAAATAATTAAATGGAAGAATTCTCCTCAAAAGAAAATCCAGGAAATAGCAACAGCTAACAAATTGATCAAAAACGATATAAGCAATATAATGGAGCAGGAATTTAGAATAATAGTCATCAAATTAATTGCTGGGATTGATAAAAGCATAGAGGACAGCAGGGAATTTATGCTACAGAGATCAAAAGATTAAAAATAGTCATGAGAAGCTAAAAAATGCTATAAATGAGGTGCAAAATAAAATGGAGTCGACTACAGCAGGGATTGAAGAGGCAGAGGAGAGAATAGGTGCATTAGAAGGTAAGATCATGGAAAGAGAGGAAGCTGAGAAAAAGAGAGATAAAAAATATCCAGCAGTATGAGGGGAGAATTAGAGAATTAAGTGATGCGATCAAGAGGCACAGAGAACTCCCTTTAGATGTAACTTGAATCGATCTTCTCCATGACATATCATAGTCAAACTGGCAAAATACAAGGATAAACAGAAAATTCTGAAACAGCTAGGGATAAACATGCTCTAACATATAAAGGGAGATCGATAAGACTAGTGATGGATTATCTACTGAAACTTGGCAGGCAAGAAAGGAATGACAGGGTATCTTCAATGTGATGAACAGAAAAAAATGCAGCTGAGAATCCTT